TGTTTAATTATAGATGCTAGTCTATAGTTCAAGGCTTCCTTAGCGTAAGTTGTATGCATGATTGTGCTGATCAGAATACTGTTAATCCAATAGTATTTTGTTCATTAGTTGCGCATTGTCTAGTTTTTTTAACAATTGCCATGACACGTAACAGAGTTTTAAATTGGAGTGTTTTTTTGTAATGGGGTAGTAAAATAATGCTTTCTGGTGCTTTCAAAGTCCTGTAGTGTCATTAAACAATAGCAGGGGCGATGAAACTGCTGGGAAGAAATGTAGGTGCATGATAGAAAACACTTAGACGAGTATAGAGAGACAGCTAGACGTCAAGGCAGTGTTATTCATAGTTAATTTTGGGGACCTGTAAAAGAATATGTGGCACATAGAAATATAGATGGATGAACAGACAGAAAGATTAGTTAGCCTAGTGCAACAATTGCTTGCAGGTCCGCCCTCCGTGCAATCACCCCACCTGGTGCATGCTGGCAAGGTTTCCAAGCCTTCACCCAACACGATATCAGCGAGCTTTTCCCCGGTACCAATATCGGTATCTAGCGGGGTCGGGCCCGGGGTCCACAGAGCGCCGATCACTACTAACGAGGGACCTTCTTTATCTAGTCATGAGAACCGTCACCTGCACCCCAGTCAAGCTGGGGCCAATGTTAGCCCACACGCTCGCGAAGGTACGTGCAAGGCTTAGGTCTGTATGCACCAGGTGATTGGGTGAAAGATTCCCATTCTTCACTCATATTCTTTGGGTCAGACACCCGCCTTATTCCTGTTTTCCAAACTTCTGGGTGAAACTGTCGCCACCTACTGCTCTCTTCAGACATTTCTATCACGTTTCCCTGCCTAGTTTCACTTACAATTCAGATACCATTATGTTCTCACAATCACAAGCACATTCCATCTCTCATCTACATTTAATCGACGGAGTTTTCTTTCTTATTCACGATCAGTTTTTAAACAGTTATCATCAGTTTCGTACTCATATGGTTGGACTTCTTCTACGCTTTGAATTCATTTGGCAAAACTGTCAGGTGAAGCATCTTTACAGAACTTGTGCTAACGTTATGCATTTGTTTCATGATATTTGGTTATAGCTTCGACAAGATGTTTTATCATACTTCATCACTGTCATTACTCACATGTTTGTTCTTTATTCTCGCTCTATCATATATAATTTCCCTAGTCATATCACTTTCCTTGTTCTTTCTACTATGATTCTGCCCATCATCTCACTCCTTCCCACATGCCACCTAGTTATCTCTTTTCCTACCTCCATCCTTTGTGTCATCTCCACACTTTTTCAAGTATAAGGTATCATTGTAACATCCTTGGCCCGTTGTTGCATTCCTTCATGCGTAATATACGAACATGTCACTTTGTTAACTCTTCTCTGCATTCGTTCATGGGTTGTGTACCAACATCTCGCTTGCTGTCTCTTTTCGCTAATGTGTAATATCGCCACACACTGCTTTCTCATCTCTCCTTCCCAGTTTCCCATATTTAATATCCCTTAGTCATTCGCGCATTCTTTCTCATGTCTAATGTTCACATAACCTCTTTTTCCTCCCATCTCTTTACTCTGCGATCTGTAATATCACCACACAAATCACTTACTTTTCCGTTGTCACTCCCGTGCTTATAATTTTGCCACGTGTCACTTTCTTTTCTCTTTTTGCCTGTCCAACTCATATTTTTCACTTTCTCTTCTCCTGCTTTACTTCTAATCATTCCAAGAAATGTTTGATTTCACTGAGAGGCTTTAGTACTTAGTATTTCGTATAGCAGAATCTGTAATTATTATGTACAACCGCTTGATTCCATCGGGTGAAACAATTCATTTTTAATAGAATTCACTTCCATCCTCTTTGACTGGGTGACACAGTTCCCGCTCTGTCACATATCTCCTTGTTTTCCGCAGAAATGTCACGTCCCACTACAAGCAGATCGTCATTAAATTCACCGTGATACCAGTTTCCTTTTTTCTCTCTCTGTGCATCTCGTACCAACCTGACAGATCTCTCCAAAAGACCGTCCCGTTGTCCCATCATGTACTCACAGATGAGACTGGAAATCGCAAAATGGTGAGATGATCTTTGGTTCCTGCCCGCCCCGAGTCCTACCAATTAACCGTTTGTTCTAGCAAAATGTGAAGGCAACTCAGAATGGATAATCAATGTGTAGTAACCAATCTTAATCGTTTTGTTTCAGTCTTCCCCTCCTCATTGCATGATGACAGGCTCATCTGTTAACAGGTACTACTGTGGTTCGTTCACTGTGTATTAGCTGTGTGATTCTGCTCTGCTCTACGTATCTCTCTCGGTGTCCGTGATCTT